CCCACCTCACCACCAATTTGGATCACTAGTAGTTCCCTTGTCCCTGGGTTTGTTAAGGAAGAGATCTATATAGTCTCCCTGCTCTCAACTCTTAGAAAAGGAGATTTGATAGGGACAAAAAGAACATCCATCACTATTCACCTCAGATGAGTAAAAGAGATGTGCAAATATTTGTTGTCTAATAAAATTAGTAAAAACCAAATCATTTCATTCCAGGTGGTCTGCAAATGGGAGATTCCACAACGCATGGATATAGAAAAAGTGTGTCACTCCTAATAGGAAAAAAAAAAGAATGATAAGCCCAGTCACTCCAGACCAGAGAAAACCTTTGAGAGCATTTGGCTTCAATCCCACCATGACTGGCAGAGCACATGCTATGGACTAAGCCTGGGCTATAATTGTTGGCATTCTCAGGCCTGCTTGTGCTGTAGTTCCACAGCCTTTGAAGGGATAATACCAGTGGCCAACACCACTGTTTATGCTACTAAAGCGACAACATGGCTCTCAAAATTGGCAAGAGTTTAGATTATACACCACTGGAAACTCCATCTATACCTCATTCTTCACAAAGAGAGACTAGTCCCTGGAAAAGTATATCATGTTTGTTAAAGTAATGTGTTAGGGGACAAGAGGAAAATCCTTGATTGGCTGCCACAATGGGCTCAAACATAACAGCATATCTTAAATGCCCCTGTGGTAGTTACATAATTTCATGTCAACCTGACGTGTAGGAGTGTAATCTAACCTGTCATTCAAGTCACAGCCTGATGGTGCCTTCTTGTGGGCGTGACCTACTGATAAGGACCGCCTCCTCTGCCTTCCTCTTCAGGTCACTGTGTCACTCAGAGACCTGTGTGAACCCTGGAGATGCATCCACTGCCATTGGATCTACAAGACTTTACACCCATCAGCCTGTGATCTCCCTGCATTCTGAGTCATTGCATGTGGCTGTGTGAGTCTGAAGAGGGATTTATGGATTAGTAGCAAGCTTATGAATGTGATCTGGACTGGGATGGGATGTTTTCCTGATATACAATTACTTTTTGATATAAAGCTCTCTCTTTATACACTTTATAATGTGTCCTTGGATTTGTTTCTCTAGTCAACCTGGTCTAACACACCCTTTATTTTTAAATGATTTTTTCCAGGTATAGGATTATAGTATGCATCTTTTCCTTTCAATATTTTTCAGTAGAACATCTAATTGTCCCTAGTCTTCATGGTTTCTGAGGAGAAATTTACACTCAGACTTTTGGGGGCCCCCTTTTTGCAAACCTTCTTCTGTATTGCTTTCAAGACTTTATCTAGATTGCAGTTTAGACAGTTTTTTGATAGTCTTTCTGAGTGTGAATCTCCTTTCATTTATCTTAAATAGAGTTCACTGAGTTTCTTATTTGTGAAAATTCATTTATCCTATCGCGGACACTGTTGTACTTCAAAATAGATCCTGAAACGTTCTTTTGATGATGAATGTGAAGCTATTTCTCTTGAATTTTCATTCCAGGCACAGTAAACCATTTGATTATTCGATTCAATGTGGCCAATACCAGTTCATTTCCACTTACTAATATTTATCTTTATGTGTTCAGTTAATTTTTTATGATCTTCAATTTTCCTAGATTTATACTTTATATATTCCACATTGCAATTATTAATAAATGTTGAGAGCTATTTCTTCTCATTTTGAATCATCCCCATCAGCCAAGGAAGATCCCTAAACGTTGCTCCATCCACATCACTATAGTTGACTCTACTTTGAGAAGGAAGCACTTCCCTAGTCATATTTTTAATACATTCTAACCTGAGACCATCATCTTCTGGTACTATATCAAACAATGTTCCATTACCATTTATAAGGCTTTCAGGGGCTACATTTTTCAGAAGTGGTCTGCTGTGAGTCAGCCCCCACAACTAAATAGGTCCAAGGGGCAGTTGTGTAATTCAGGGGTAAAATTAAAAAGACACCAGACAGAATAAAGCATGCAAGTGCTCACCTTTGCATTCATGACTTCAGGAGCCAGGTCCACGCAGAAAGTTAATTTATTTCTAGCCACGGTTTATATACATTCGGGGAGCATGCAAGCCCCCCCTAATTACAGGTAACCACTCTAAAGGTCCCTGAGTATATTGGAGGAATAACCTAACACCAGTGCCCGGGGCAGGTAAGCGGGAGTGGCTGTCTTCAGAGCCTAGAGAGCAATAGCCTCTGTGATAGATAGGTTTATTGTGTTAACTTGGCCAATGAACACATATGGGATTAATTGAAGGGCAGTTTAATTGAAGTGTTGAGAGATAAATGGCTCTGTGATTCTCGCCTTTCTTGTCTCTTGCTCTTTGATGATTGAACCAGTGTGTGGCTGCCTTAGCTGGTTCTCTGCCTCAACTTGAGATCTATACTACCTGTGGGACACCCAACCCATGGACTGTGTCACTGTAGTTTTAGGTTCCTTCAAGATCTGCTTCGCTGGTGCACGGGGCGTGGTGCCAGAGAAGAGCCAGCAACTTGAGCGCGGTGCCTCCTCCCCGAGACTCTTTGAACGTCTTCAGCTCAAAGCAAGAGCCAACCTGACTTCAGCTCTACCGAGATGGCCAAGCAGGCAGACGACGACCTGGAGAAAATTGAGAACAAAGCAGAATTCACCATAGACCTGCTTTCCAGTTACCTGCAAGCTTTCAAGAAAGCCCTGGTCCTGGTCATGCCGGTGCAAGAGCAGACCAACAAAGAAACCAGCAGCAAGAAAAAGCCCCAGTGATGACTCTAAACAAATCTGAAAATAATGGAAGTTTCCCACAAACTTTTTGAAGCCCCCTTGTATATCTATCTCAGAACTTTTACCTGTTCAGCTCTTTACAGGTTTAAGCCTTATTGACAGCAATTACAAGAATCTGTTTGCAAGCTAACATTCCATGATCCTTGTAGTTTTTCCATTACCCCTACCCCCCACCCCCCACTTTCTGCATACTCACCCTAGTAACCACTAATAAATGTTGATATCTATAAAAAAAAAACTGCTTCGCCATGCTACTGGAGTATACATCACTTGAGCTGGGGACTGTCGGCCCCTGTCATATGGCTGACTGTTGGTGACCTGCTTTGCTGTTTGCTGTCTGTGGCCGGATTGTCTGAATTGCTTTACAGAGAACTCAGCTGTGTGCTTCCTTGACTTGTACCTGGAGGCTCTCATGACTTAAAGGACTGCCAGTGTGTTATCTGTCTCATGTAAGTGAATTGCACTGAGTCATTTGTACTGCTCTATAGACTAATTAGCGGTTTATTTCTTATGATATATATATATATAAAATTACAAGTGTCCTGCTCTTGTTTCTCTAGAGAACGCTGTCTAACATAGCCTTTATAGCAGCGGTTCTCAACTGTGGGTCACAACCCCTTTAGGGGTCAAACAACCCTTTCACAGGGGTCACCCAATTCATAACAGTAGCAAAATTACAGTTACGAAGTAGCAACAAAAATAATTTTATGGTTGGGGGTGTCACTACAACATGAGAACTGTATTAAAGGGTTGTGGCATTAGGAAAGTTGAGAACCACTGCTCTCTATATAGTAGTTGCAGGCTACTAGCAATCAACCATATGCTTGTAAGAGTTAACTGTAAGGTATCACTAGTATGGGAGGATACAGTGGAGAACAAAATTATGAGAATGTGATTGGAACTTACCTCTAACTCACAAGGAGAAGGCCTCCCTCCACCCCATAAATCCAGCCTGCCAGGATTCTTAATATATGAGAATCAAGGATTCATCTGTATACATTCTCTTCCTGTTCTCTGCTTCTCACAGTATGCTTCTACCTTCTTCCTAGTCTATCTTAGTCAGGAAGCTCCTCTTTAACCTGTCCACCATAGGTGACCCTGATAGGGGCAGAACAGGGACTTCTGGCCTATCTGCTAAAGGGATGAACAAAGGACCCTGTGAAATAAATGATGAACAAAGGACTCTGTGAGAACTGGCTTGGTAAACACCTTAACCTTGAAGCCAGGCCCCAGTAAAATTCTGGCACATGACTATTAGAAAATAATTCTGAGACATGCTAACCCAAAGGAGCAGCCCAGATAAAACTGAAAGAAATTATATATGAGACCCAAGGACAAACTGAGTAACAAACAGAACGCTGCTTGACCGTCTGGAGAGCAGACGCCCCCTCCCCTTTGAAAGTACCATATACAGACTGGAAGCATTCCCCTAGACAACATCCTCACCTCAACTTGTGACAAGGAACCTGCTTCGCCTCCAGAGGGAAGTGTGTCTTATCTATACTTACAGGGATCTTCTCAACTCATGAGAGGCCCAAACTTCATCTCTTTTGAAGTGACTCTATGCTTTAATTAACTTGTGGCTTTCTCTGCTGATGTGTGTGTGTGTGTGTGCACGCGCGCGTGCGCAAGGCTTATCTCTGGATCCTAACAAACCACACGGGTTTGGAGCTTGCAAGTTCTGCCAGGGAGAACACCTGGGAACCGAACTTCACAGACCCCAATAGTGTTTGAAATACCTGTGACTCAGCTTCCAGCACCACAACACATAAGCCACCACAGTAGGTAAAAATGATAGATGAGTGGTGGATAATGGGCATATAATGTATGAAATATAATTTGTGATAACAACAACATAAAGGGGTATGGAGAAATGATATAGGAGGAAAGTTTTTGTATGTTATTAAACTTAACTTGTTATCAATTTAAACAACCTAGTTTAAATGTATAGCAACCCAGCTATAAATTTAGGATGATAAAGATATTCCACATAGTAACCACAAAGAAATTGTCTGAAATAATACTAATAAAATGAAATGAGAAGATAATGAAAATTGCTTACCACAAAAACTCAACTAAACAGAAAGGAGACAGTATTTAATGAAATAAGAGTGGCAAAACAGGGAGGGTAAAGGGAGAATGGGTAGGAAAGAGGGAACCGATTACATGGAACTGTGTGTGACCTCCTCCCTGGGGGACAG